GAGGAAGAACTTGTATTTCAAGATTTCTCACCCAAAACGTGGTCAAAAGATGAAAAATCACATATTTGGAATCAGCTCGTCGAACTCTATCGAACGATGTATATTTGAGTCGAAAATGTTTTCTGTTCCTCTTTTGCATTTCCGGCACCTTAATGAAGCGCATTAGTTTTTATTTTCAGAAGACCAGTGGCCTTTCGTGCATCTACAATTGGCATATGGTTCAATATTTTAACAATGTTAGCACACATAGCAATTATTGCTAATGTGAGTATAAGATTTGTTCATAAATCTGGTCTATAATGCTCGTTCAAAGCGTCCATTTTTCATAAAAAATAACTTTATTAAATGAATGATGAATATTTTAACGCAAAAATTTTATTTAGGCTTTTTTGATCGCATTTACATCTGAATTTCTACCAAGACTATTATATATGTATACTGTCGAATGGAGTATGAAAGATTATACAAAATTTACTTTGGCTGATGCACCATCTGGCACATCAGAAATATCTTGCAAGTAATTTTTATTCATAAAACTATTTTGATTGGAATAGAGGCCACGTGTATTTAGATATCGTGACTTTCGTGATTCGAATGGTAATTTAACAGTATTCTATTGGAAATTATTAGCATTACGATTATTTTTTGTCATCTTATTTGAAGTGAGTAGATAAATTTCTATTTGTTGTTTATCAACCATCTTGATTATGTTATTTTTATTAGCATGTTGTCTTCGGCATGTGTCGAATCATTGATATGCTAATACCAGATGTACCCAAATCATTAGAGATTAAAATTCGTCATGAACGTTATCTAGCTAAACGAGCATTACAAGATTCAAATAATTTCAGTCAGGTAAACTTTATGGTTAATTAAACTAGCTGACCACTTAGTTTGTACTCTTTTAAAGATAATTGCTGAATATGAAGATGAACGATCAAAATCTACATCTCGAACAGCAAGATCGTCTAGACGTGATCGAAAAAACTCCAACAAAAACAATATTAAAACGGTGTAATGCATTAATTGATAATAAATCTGTAAATCCATAAGTGAAACATCGTTTGTATCCATATGATTATATTTTTAGAAAAGTAATTATTTTTAAGTTTAATTTCTTTTTGCGATGTTAAAAAAACTGTTTTGCTGTCAAAAGAGAGTGTATATGTCCTTAAAATATGAATCATTGTCACTAAGTCATCGGTGGATCAATTCTTCGTTTGATAGTTTATACTTTCTATTGAAAGTAGATCTAATATTTATGCATAAAACTGCATTCAATACAGCCATTCGCAAATCATCCAGTCATGCTGTGGAGCTAGTTTACAGTCAATTTGGCTAAAACAAACACAGACAGCCACCAAAAATAGTTTTTGCATAGTGAATGATCGTTATAATCCAAGTACTTTACATTAAAATCCATATACATGGATTTAGTAAAATAGTTTACATTTCCATACTTTTTAGAAGATAATTATATTCATATTACATTATCTGTTCATATCCTTCGTATAATGATGTCACTGACATTGATGAAAACGTTGATATTGAGCGTATAACACCAGTTATTGTCACCAATAAATCGGTTGTATTATCCCATAGCAGAAAATTCAATATACTATCAAATTTGACAGAAAGCAAAAATCATATTTAACAAAATACATTGAATTTATTCGATGACGATTATTTTCAAGTAAATCGTTCAATTCATTTATTGCATGTTTCATTGGAAATGTTGTTTGAGAATAGATCCAAGAAAAATTAAAAAAATTAAAAATATTTGTTGAAATTAATTTTTAAAGGTATGATTACCGCTAGTTACTCCTGAGTATACAAAATTCATATACTAAAACTGAGTACGATAATATTCATTAATTTTCTCCAGCCATTCCCTGACGGCAGCCCTCTTTCTTTCTCTTATGTCTGTGCATGAGTGAGAGAAAAATGTTTTCATTACCCTTCACATTTTTGAACATTTTATATCGACAAATGACAATATAAATATATGCTAACTGAAAGTCTTTTTATGTAACGGAAAGACAAAGTAACATGTACTTAAATTGACAGAGTTCAAATAACCATCACGATATCATTACAGTCGATTGTATACTCTGTCCACATTGGTGCTGGTGTTATTCTATAATTTACCCCACTCTACTGTGATTCTACTTTTTTTTATAATCATCTTTTACTATATAAACCATTGTTCACTCTTGATCATGATGAAAAAGCGTGAAAAAAAGAAAGAAACAATAACTGTAGCAATTATTGTTTGTTTACAAAACAACAAAACTCATATCGTTCATTTCTGAGATTTAGCCACTATACTGGATGAATCTACAGTGCAACAACTTTTGCTATGCTTCTTCAGTTTTTGAGCGAAAGATCATAACAAATTAATCTGTTTTATTTACTCTTTCATTTTAATCAGTTACGCATTCAGTTCGAAATAATTTATTTTGCGGTTCGGATCGTGTAAGCTGAAAGAGCTCGCCATTCTGGTCATAGATTCAAAATTGTTCGATCTCCGTCGTCATAATAAGAATTCTATAGGGATATTTTTCCGTTCGTTAATTCTGATGCTGTTGATGCAATACTCACATTTTGTTCAAAAACTATAAAACTCTTGGAGCTCGCTCACATATCAGTAGATATCCTACAAGTTTCTCTACAAACATATGTGCTTTAAAGACAAAAATACAACTGAACAAGATACGTACGGGAAGTTCCGAATATTACATTAGTTTTGCAAAGAAATTGAAATTTGATGGTGAAAATACTAGTATATTTCTCTATTTTTCGTTAATGATATCGAAAAACAAGTTGTCTCGACAACGAAGCAAAATCTAAGAAAACGTGAGTTATACTTTTAAAGCCAAGGTTTCGACAATTACAACCGTATGAAACCGTATCATTTTTTATGTTGCTTACAATGGGCGTTCTGCGTCCGATAGCACGATACGATTTACTTATGTACTTCGCTTATTTATCAATAAAAAGTTTATACAAAAAAAAACCGTATGACAAGAAAGACTTCATCTATTGATAGAAAGAAACTAGATTTTAACAATTTTGGTCTATCCGAGTATTTTGAATTCTTCTCCCTTAAAAAGTATTTAAAAGGTAAGCACATATAACCTACGATGCAAAAGTAATTGCGGAAATCTTCAGTCATGGTTCTCCGCTCAGGAACATCGCAGAAAGTTCATTCTTTTTCCGATTGAAAGAGCAAAGTCTGAACTTCAAAAAACATAGAAAACAAGATTTTTGTGACTGGCTTTGACGAAGAAAAAAGTACGATACTAAATGTCGCTAAAACAGCTCTTGCAACTTCTGTCCTCTTCAAACGCATCTCTCGCATCAAACCTGTTTTTCCCTATACAGAATACGTTTGAAATTATATAATCATAAAAACTAGAAGTGCTTTTATCACTCTTTCAAATAGGGTATGATAATTAAGCTTTGATTCACTTTTCGACCAGAACTTTACAAAATTTTTCATTAGTTTCAGAAAACAAGTAATTAGACTTAATTAATAATTTTCAGATACTGGACAAATTTCGCCCTTTTTCTAAAGCAGATTTTCTGGAACAGCATGCGATTCTCTACAAATTCACATTACTTTAACCTTTACTAACATGTTTAGAGCCCTAAATAACGAATTTTTCTCGATGTCACATCTTTCCCATGCAAAGTAGTGCTTTCCATCAAAATTAAGACTTATAATGCGCTTTATTTACCGTTAAAGAATTACTGAGAAACTTTCTAAAGTAGGGAGGTCGATAGAATTTTGCACGGGCTACTTTCTTATCTATTTGGCTTTCAAGAAA